TTTACTTTAATATTTTTATTTATCGCGCAACATAAAACAATATTGTGGGGTTTTCACCACATACACTATGTATTCACATGATACACCATACAGCTACAAAGAGAGAGACTGAACAGAAACACTTTTTTTTTCCTTTTTTTTTTTTTTTTTTTTTTACATACTGCATCCTTGACGTGAAAATAAAGAACCAAGAACAATCCTACAACTCAAAAAAGGAATGTAGCTGCCACTTGTGTAGGTTCATTTTCATCTTTTTTTCTATAGGCCGGGGTCCAAGTCTCCATTCCCAATTTGGAGCGTGTTCAGTCACTAATTTTCAACAGTGGGCCATACAGAGTGAGATGCACGCGTTTCTATATTTGTGTGGATGAGAAAGACAAAATATACAAGATTTAAGAGAAAGTTAGGGCGGAGGAAATTAACTCCGGGGCTCGGGAGAAGGAGGAGGAGGCAGTACACAATTCTGGGATTGTTGAAATATCTTAGCATTCAGCTAACATGTACATGTACAACATACTCAAAAGAGAATCCTAATAGCCTTTCAGTACTTGCGCTGTACCAAATGTGAAACCCAGATAACAGTCTTCATATAATTTCACTCTAATCCTCGTCCTAGTTTTGTTGACTTCAAGTACAATATGGAATGAATATTAATAGAGGATGCGATCGGCTGAGAGATGCAAATCTGTAGCGTTGTAGCAAAGGACTTTTGATAAAGTCAGCACCAGGGCAGCTTCCCATCTTTTGAAACTGCTTGAATCAAAAGTAAAGTTTCCTTGACATTCGAAGAGCTCAGAAAAATATTTGTGTGAATCGTTTACGCCTCGGGTTTCTTTTCCTTTTTTCTTTTTTATTCTAGCACAGTGAATTTAAAGGTGTAGCATCGTAGCACCGGCTGTCTAACCCCCACCCCACCCCACCCCACCCACCCAAACACACCACCACAAGCACCCACCTCAGCACATGCCCAGGAGGTGGCGCTCCTCCGTGAGAGCCATCCCCCAAACATGTGAGACATTTAGAGATTTACAAAGTCAACGTTATATATGGTGTGCACTGCATCCCAGACACCTTTTCTCAGGCGAGTGTGTATCGTTCGGCCATGCGTGAAGCTCAAAAACAATAAAAACAGGCCCTGTCGCTGCACCGGGCCTGTTTGCCGTATGCATCGGATCCTTAAATATGGAGCTAAAATCTGGTGTTTCCAATGGTTACTGTCAAGATTTCTCTGCCACGTTCATTCTTAAATATCAATAAAAGCTAGAGCTTATCATAATAGACACAATTAAACAGGCGGGGAGGCCGGGTCTTACCCGATAAACTAACACAAGTGGAAAAGACCGACGAGCAACGCTGTCTCCATGTCGCCACGAAGAAAAAAACACTTTCATCGATCTGTGCTCAATGTGAAGCCACAGCCAAGCATATCAGAATCAGTCGGGAGGTTCAAAAGCCTGCAAACCAGCTGGTAAAGCATGACAAATGTTTCTTTGAGAACTTTTAGTGTCTTGGTCAGAACTGCCGCTAATTTGTGCTGGTTTCCAGAGTCCAGATGGAGGTTTTTGCAAAGGTTAAACTGGACGTTTTGCTGGTGAGGAGTCAGGAGAAGACGACAAGCTGCAGCTTCCTGCTGTCCACCTTTGGGCTAAGTAGGACTTGCAGGGGCTCTAGGTAAGCGCCTGGTGTCAATGGCCGACCGGCCACCAGCCTGCTTGGAACAGGTGCTAAAATTACATTTAAAAAACAGTGGAGTGGAGCGGAGCTGTGCGCTACCTGCAGGAAACCCTCATTCTTATGGTAAAGAGTCGCACTTCAACACAGTTTAAAGACCTAAACAGTAAACCACAGCCTGGGATCTGTTTGTTTTAAACTAAACCTTAAAAAATGGCGTTCATTCGGGATGGTAATGTGAAGGTGGTGGTGGGGGGCAGCTTTTGTTAAAACTCTGTAATGCATTTCGTGGTTTGTCTTTACAAAGCTGGGCTCGTGAGTTGATCTAAAGAAGGCGACGGGGCTCTGGGGGTACAGTACTTCTGAAAGCAAAACAGCAGAGTTACCGAGCAAACGTTTACACACAACACACCGCGAGCACGTGTTGGAAAGGGCTGTCCAAGACTTTAAAACACCCCCGTCATTCATGGTTTAGTTACTATCCTCACCAGTTAAATAATCTTACCTAAATAGTTTAATATTTACACTTTTTTTTATCTCTCTCTTGAGAAAATTAAAAAGAAACAAAAAAAAACCCTAAGCTTCAAGTTGTCAATAATCGGCTCTTTCTTTTTGTCATTAAAATCAAGATTAAAAGTGCTTTTATAAATCTTTTCTTCTCTATGTACAATTTGTATCAGCTATATAAAAAAAGATGAAAAAAGAAAACAATAACATCAAAGACAATCATCATCACCATGTAGTAATAAATAAGAGATTTTAAGGAAAAAAAGGCAGGTTAAAAGGTTAAAATGAGTGTGGAGATCTAGAGCACACAAAGGGACATGCATGACTCTCTGCCCTCAGTAGCAAGTTGGGATTGTGACCAGTGTCTCTACAGCGTGAGGTAGAGAGCTGGAGGCCCGTGGGACCGTGGGAGAGGTAACAGGGTCGTTCACAGCCGGCCGGGCCTTTGGCCCAGGCCGCCTCCATCCAGTTCTGGTAGTCGCTCGTTCTCAGTTTGGACGCACTGCGCGCAGCTATTACGCCGCCGTTACGCCTTCCATGGACTCAAAGGGGCATCGAGCACGCTTTCGCTTTGGTTTCTGCCTGCCGTGCAGATACGAGTCACTTCCACGCACCCCGTCTCGCCCGACCGACGCGAAGCGGGAGATGAGCTGATTCTAAGGGTTTGCATTTGGCGCCGACGCCCTGAAGCTTCAGTGATTCTCTGGGGTCTGCCTTTAGCCCGCAGCGCTGCGTTGTCGGGGGGGAAAGCACCGCCGACCCGCCGACCTGCCCAAAAGCTCCCGGAACCGGAACCGGTTCCCGAGCCCAGTGGTGACAAGGTGCCTGCGGAAGGACGCCCCCGGCTCTGCTCAAAAGATGACAGCACCATGCAGAGGAAGAGGGGCCCTTCGCAGTTGATCAAGTGTAACAGGACAGCACCAGAGTGTGTGTGGGAGCACCAAGAGCACCACAGTCCCAGCGATGTTTCCGCGGCTTCAGCCCGGGACAAACCTCCAGACTTCACTCACATTTACAACTCAATGGGACGGAGTTGCCTTTCCGAGCCACCGTTGTCAGCAAAAGAGGTAGGAGATCCACCTCTGCTGGCCAACGGTGGTTAACGCAGCACAGAAAAGGCTTCACTCACTTCAAAATGGACCTCAGTTGCTTGTGGGTTTGTTTCTACACACCCCTTCGAAACGACAGCCAATGCCGCCCTCTAGAGCTCTCACTGGGAAGTGCTCCCCCCCCCCCCACACACGTGAACGTAGTAGGAAGATGAAGAGCGCCACCTGCCCCATCTCTCTGTGGTGGAAGCAGATCTGGTTTGAATGGCATTTGCAAATAGTAGCTCATGTTAGCCTCTGTAAAGTACAAGAAACCAGATAATTCATTATAAAACGCTCAAAGCCGTGAACTCTGACGCTCCGGTACGCAACTGCAAATACTAAGTGAGCCAAATTTGAGTTAGAGCACCTTAGTTCAGCATCAAATGCCATGAAGGGCGGCGGAATGAAAGTCGACCACAGCCAGAAGCCGAGCACCAGTGGAGAGCAGGTGGGCGGGGCGGGTGGGCAGGAGGAACGCATCATCTGAGGACAGGACAAGCTGTGACCATTCATCAGTCATGTCTAACCCACATGAACCCCTCCTGATTGGCTATGGATCTTACTGTACTGAGCTCAGGTTCAGCCTTTCTGAAATATCTGCAGTCAGCAGGAGTGACCATGCCCAACTCACTTTTACGAACTCCCTTTAAAAGCAAAAAAAAAACAAGGATGGCCATGATTTCATAATGTTTGTCACTAATTGTCGGATTTTGTTTGTGTTTCTCTAATGCTGATCTGCTGTCTGATCGGGCAGATAATGGCTCCTCCTGGGAGAAAAGTTTTAAGAATGGCAACGAGAAAGAAATGAAGTTACCAAAGGGGGCGGGGCACGTTTTCCAAACATGGAAAAGCAACGGTCTGAGAAACTCAGACTGATTGATTAAAAAATATATATATAAACCAAAACAATCACCTCATTAATAATAACATTAAAGAAAACAGCATAATAATACCTGTAATAACAACATTGACAGTAACAATAGCAATCATAATAATATTGATAATAATAGCAATAATTAGAATCATTAAAATTCTATAAACAAGAAAAAGCAATGGAGTTCCTCTCCAGGTAAGAGAGGCAGAGCACCACAGGCAGTGTGTCTGAAGCCCAAACCACTGCCTGACATGAGGTAAAAAACAATAAAAATGTCCCCTCCCCTCCAGGTGGACTGTGGAGGGGGCAGGATGGAGGGACGCCGGACTGTGAGACAGCTGAGAGACATTCATCCTGCTCTCTCCAGACCTCCACCGCACCACTCGGTAGCTTTCAGTCTGTGTCTGTGTGGCCTCAGACGAAGTGGCTGTAGGGCCCAGTGAGGCGGGTGAAGGCATAGGGGGACACAGTTACCGTAGAGGTGGTGTAGAACGTGGGGGCTAACCGTGTCATCGGCCCCTCCTTCTTGTCCTTAGATTGTCCAGGTCCTGGACTGGCACCGGCCGCGGTAGCACCCCACTTGCGTTTCTTCCCAAGGGCCTTAATGTCTTCCTGAGAGAGGCCAAGGAGAGCTGCTTCCTGCTGCCTCTGCCTGGTTCGCTCGGCCAGCAGCTTCATTTTGGCCTCCCACAGAGCCAGGCCGTGCATGGGCTGGTTGAGGTTCTTGTGCTGGTAGAAGACCAGGGAGATGCGGGTGGGGTGGGAACGGTCGGGCTTCTTAATTGGAGTGGTGGCGTGCAGCTCCCGACGGGCACATTCGATCAGGATGGAGCCATGAGCCGGTGCAACCGCTACCCCGCCAATGCTGGGATCCAGGAAGTTGTGTTCACTGTCAGACCAAACCTCGTCCTCGTCATCCTCATGCTTGGTGCTCTCGACGTCACTCTCGGCTCGGCTTTGGTCGCAGTATGCTTGATTAGATTGCTGCAGTGCATCGGGAAAGAGGCGACCCTCGGGAGCTGGGGATGGGGTGCTGCCTGCCACCGAACCCCCGAAAGACTTCCAGGCCTTTTCTTGGAGCCCAAGTGGAGTGGAACAGCGATTTTCCCCGGTCTTGGACCAGATCTTGTCTGGGTAGGCTCCTGCAGGATTGTTGTGCTTCAAACCAGGGCTGTATGCAGCGGGCCCCATTGGCCAAGGGTTTGGCTGGGGACTCGGAGCGGGGCTAGCCCAGTGCCTGGGGGTGCCTGGGCCTGGAGTGGGGGGGCCTGGTGTGCCGGGTTGGGGCGTAACTGAGCCTGAGCGTGAGTTAGAAGGCTGGGGCGTACCTGGTCGAGGGGAGGCATGGTGTGTGGAGCCTTGGTGTAAGTTAGGATGGAACGCCCCACCTAGGTGATGGGCCGGGGGTGGGGATGAAGGTATTTGGGGTGATGGGCTGGGAGAAAGCATTGGCGGATTTGAGCCAGAGAAGGGGGCCCACTGCTGGGGGTAAGGAGAGGACTGCCGCTGCTGGGAATGCTGGTGAAACTGCTGCTTGCTCAAGCTCAAAACCTCTGGACTTTGTCTGTGATTCACATGGCCATCCCAACCGGTGGGAATAATGCTTCCATTAAGCTTGCACCCAGGCCAGGCTGCAGGTTGGGGGGTGGACCTTGATGTGTTTGCTCCAGCCTGGATCGGCAATGTGCCTTCGTTGACGGGCACATCCATGGGCTCCTGTTTAATGAGGGGAGTGACTCTGTTGGAGGGCTCAGATGAGACAGAGGAAGGACGGGACTGGTTGTATTCTGCAGGCTGGGTGTAAGCACTGTGGCTGACTTGGTTGTTTTGCTCATGCTGGCTGGTGGAGGACTGGGCCAGTCTGGCTTGGAGGTCCTGGATGTCAGGCTTTTGGTCTGCCTGGACAGGCTTACTGTCTGTTTTCGCAAAAGATCCATTTCGACCCTCATAGGTCCTCAGCTTACGTGGGAAAAGTGCATTGGGCGGGTAGTTGTAGTAGCCATAGGGCATTGTGGGCAGACTGGGGTGGTAGCCATTGACCGTGTCGGCTGCTGAGGGCTGGCCTGCTGGGGACGGGGCTCCCCTTGCATAGTAGGTTCGGTGTTGATAGATGTTATTGAACGGGTCAGTTACTTGCAAAGGGTATCCATCTATTGATCCATTGAGAGGCTCGGTCTTGATGTTGGGCTTCATTTCTTGCTTTATAATTGCTTTAAAAAAGAAAGGTATGTTAGAGATATAACTTCACCTTTTGGCTGGGTTTATCTTTAAATCTCCTTTTGACACATCAAACACTGACTAACCTTTATTTCCTTGGGGTTGAGGGGATCCAGAGAAGCAGACCTCAGCCTTGACCACCGTTTTCTCTGGTGTCTCCCCTGGCTGCTGCAGGAGTTTATTCTTCTTCTTCTCTGAGGCAGCCTTCTTGGCCTCCAAACGGCGCTGTCGGCAGGATTTGGCCGGCTCGGGCAGCCTGCGTACCTCACGACGGAAAGCCTGAAGCACCTGAATGGCTCCTGTCTGCATCTTGAGGCGCTGGGCCTCAGCGCTGCCGAACTCATCTGTCGTAGATACAGTGTAAAGAGGCAGCACGTGGAGCTGCTCGTCCTCAGGGATTTCCCCCACGAGGCGGTTATCCTCCTTCGTTAACGTGCACACCTGACAAAAGCAGGACGGGAAGAGCAAAATGTGAATTAGACCAAAACCTTTTGTTGAGCACAATTCGGTCTGCGTTCAAAACCTTACCACCGTGCAGCCATTGTGTAGATTGTGCTGATCCTTATGAGCGTGGGCACAGAAGTCCATGCACGCAGTGACTCCAGAGAATGGACGGCCTTCCTTCAAACCCAACCTGCAGTCTGAAGCTTTATCCTCTGACACGCACTGAGGGAGAAGACGAAGATAGCATCAAACCATCAACCCATTTGACAAGATGCACATGATGCTGATTCTGTTGCTGATATGTGGATTCTGTCATTTAAGTTAAATTCCTGGTGCAGAGAGGAAAAGTGGATTGTGTGGCAACAGTGTGTTGTTGGGTAGCAAACCTGGTTGCTGTAGGCCTGTGGTGCCAGTTGCTTGTACAAAGGAGCCACCTCAGTTGCCAGACTTTGGAAGTTATCCCTGAGTTTGTCCTCCTGAGAATAAAAAAAACAGATTATAGTTGAGAAAAAAACTAATGTGAACCAAGACATGAATTATTGCATTTAAAACAAACATGTGTAAGGAAAACCCTCTCCTTCCTGTGACATTTGAATTGTTTTCGGGGGCAAAACGCGCCGTGTTCCTGAACAGATTTAGCCAATAAGCTGTTTTGTAAAATACTCACTGTTCATAAGTACTTCACCCAAGATTATAAGGAGACTAAAACCTAAAAAACTATAAAAACAACAGGCAACTGGCAACCAGACAATCCCCCTTTAATCCAATGAACTCCACCCCCAGTTTGCAGCAAATATGTTGAAAATGACTAACACAACTGTCTGTATCTCCTGAACTGCTCTGCATACATGGATGAGGTCTTGCCAGAAAGAAAGAGTGTCAGAAACACCCTAGTCAATACAAAGACAGAGTTATGGAACTCTAAAGCCTGTAAAATATTGAGGATTTTGGTCCATACCTCTTCAGGGCGATCTCCTTGAAGCCTGAACTTGCGCGGCAATTTGCTGCGGGCGTACTTGCAGCCATTGAAGTACATACTCCAGGAGCAGCCGAATGAGAAAGAAGCACCACATGTTTCGGGGTCTTTGCCCTGACAGGCACAGGTACGACTGCAGGGGACACAATGAGAAAATAAGAGTTATAGAGAAAATGGAAAATCAAATGATGTAACAAAGACATGTTTTTTATTGTCATTCTTCCTGTTTTTGTTTTTTTATTATTATTTAAAAATGTATGGCTTACAACACGTTTAGACAGATTTTTTTTTTTAAATCAATGATTTATCTGCTGAAATAACTGAAGTTTGCATTGTGCTTCTGAGGCTGTTAAATGTCATAATTAAACCATCATGTGGCATCCTCTGGTTTAAAAACCACTCACATTTTTATTATAGGATACTCCATGTCTTGGTCTTCTTGACATACTTGGAGTTAAGAGACATATTACATCAACAGTAATAGTGTAATATGACCAACTGCCTGTTTTTTGCCACTTCCACAAACATTTTCATGATGCATGTCAGCTGCTTACTCATCATTGAGGCCGCAGCGCCGGCTGGTGGGGTTGCCAAACTTGGTGAGGGTATCGCTGACCTCGCGGTACAGCTTGTCGGCCAGGCCTCTGGGGACCCCTTCCCAGGCCATAATGAGAATGATGATGACTGCGTTGGCACAGTGGTGTCCAGCGCGGTGACGCACCAGGCAGAGCAGCTTCTCTTTCTCGCTGCCCCGACGGATCACCTGGCGCGACAGAGAGAGCATCACTACCCGAGTTCATCTCGTCACTTTTTGCAGTTTCAACATTCGGCCAGCAGATGTCCAACACACTTAGATATTCTAAACATGCAGGCACACAAGGTGTAAAAGCTGTAAGAAATGACCCTGCTCTGGTCACATCTGCACTGTGTGTCCAGTTTAGTCCCACTGTCACTCTTTAAATGAGATTATACTTCTGAATCATTCGCAGGATGTGTGGGGAATGACACAGAGCAGGATGGAGGAGGCCTCCTACTGACTCACCCACTGTGGATAACAAGCTCACCCATTTGTCTCCCCTTACACCCCTCATTGTAGACAAACAACATAACCACACACATCCACCACATTAATCAGTTGCTGATTGGCTGTCACAGCTGTCAGGAGGGACAAACAAACACAAACAAGCTTCTCCCCCTTTTTCCACTTTTCCCCTGAAACAATAATCAGACACCAAGTGAGATGCTGACAGACTGCCAACGAGGTTTGGAGGTCTTAGAAACTGTCTGAAGCACACAGATGATCATTTTGCCATTTTCATGAGCAGCTACACTAGCTATCTGTGTTGTTTTAACACCCCCCACCTGGTGGAAGTAAAGAGGATGCACCTACCCACTTGGCAATAGGACAACCATGAGAGCTCTTCCCCTCTTTGCCAGTGTACACAACCTTCTCAATCCGGACGGCTTCTCCCTTCTCTCCATACCTATGAAGAGTAAGAAAAACAACATGGTTATTAAGATGTACGTCCACTTGGACAAATGGTGGGCGATGACTGTCACTCTGGACCAGAGCAGCCAGTGATGTCGCCCTCAACTCCAGCTTTCTGTATGTTGTCGCCCAAAGACAGGCCACGGTAGCTGGAGTGGAGTGTGTGTTCACAAAGCTCTGCTGAGATTCACACGGGCCTGGCAGAGTAAACCAGAACCCGCTGGCCTCTGTGTGAAACCGACCACGTGGCCTCGCCTTTAAGGGGCTTCTCCGCTGCACTTTGTGACTGCACCGATTTCTGCATCCCTCCGCTTGCAGATGTGCCAGTAAGGATGCAGGAGGAAAGAGAGGAGCGGGGGGTCAAAGGTGGCACTGGGGAACAGGCAGGTCATCGGAACTTGTCACATGTCCGGTCACACTTCATCTCAGGTCTACCCCCGGCTTGATACCTGCCATTGTGTAAACTTCAGCCCTGAGCAGATTTGGCGTGACAGCGAGCACAAGAGGTTCCCGCTGAATAGGAGTCTCCCAGAGGTGGCTGAGAGAGGTGGGGGGGATTAAACTCAGCCACCACAGGGGTGGCCTGCTGGGGTCAGAGGTGGGTCAAAGGTCAGCTAGGAACTATAGGGTCTTAGCATCTTACATCATCTCTTAAAGAACAAAAAGTTGTCTCTGGCCTATCACCAGTTCCTCATTGTGAGAGCTGATGAATCATTGGACCGTTTGAAACGCTGTCAACAATCCCTCTGAACAGTTGATCGGTGACTCTCCTCTTTCAGTGGGTGCGCCTGACTTTATCAAAATTAGGCAACAACATCTTATGGGATTGGTTGAGTGATCACAGGGTGTGTGACATGCAGTGATGACTAAGGCCAAATGAGATCCTGTGGCTCTTTTAAGGCAAATGATTACAAAATATGTCCTATTTAAGTTTGATTTCTTTTGAGGTTTGAATCATGGTGAATTCAGCGTTTTTCTGAGTAGATAACTGGCAGTTTGAGAGCTTCTATTTCTAATATCCTCTGTTTTCATTCTCTATGCTTTTCTGTGATTTCTGTGTCTAATAATGACTGTAATTTCCCCCCTTCTTCTTCACATTTTCAGCTGTCATCAACTGCTACTCCCATGCTGCTAGCCCTGTCTGTGATATTCTGATGATGCTGATACTTCCTGTTCCTCTGACTAGTTTCTGGGTCACAGATTCCCTCGGGATAACTTGTGAGGAGGAGGAGGGAGGGGTTGAGAAAGAAAAAGGAGGGAGATGAGGCAGAAGAAAGGAAAGGGCAGCTGGAAGAAAAGAGAAGAGAAGAGTTGCTGCACCTCGTTTCCATCAGGTTTCTTACGGAGGCCACAGTAGGTCCAGATCCAAGGTGATTGTAGTAGGGCCCTTCATCTTTCTCAAGTATGTGCTCTGGGAATTAAAAAAGTAGAGTGAAAAACTTAAGACAACCTTCAAAATGTAAAAATGCATGCAAAAAGAAATTTTAAGACAAGTTTTAAAAATGAAAAATGCATTTGTTTTCATGCTAATGTTTTCCTGAGCTGCCCTCTGTTAATGAACCTCAAATAGAAGCAGAAGGCAGCTCTACTGTTCATGGAAATCATGTTCCACTTGATATTCAACCAAAAGTATGCCCAAACATTACATATTATTTTATGCAATGCCAGGTGGCATATCTGACCTATGAGTCATGACTTTGGGGCAGAGTTGACGTGTTTTGGTTCATCACAATTAATGTGCATTGTGTCAATATTTACCAGATCTCAGATAAAGCTATGTTTGCAGCATTGTTTGTCTCTTTGAACCTTAGCCTGTTAAAAGCTAGTGGAACAAGTCTGCTGACCTCAGCAGTGAGAAAATTTGAACTCGCTTTGTGTAGACCTTTGTAAAAAGGCCAAAATGTTAAGCAGATGTGCTTTGATGTCTTTCTGGGCAAAGCTATGGTTGTGGTCTTTGTAGATGAGGCCAATTCACAACTGAGGAGCAAATGACTGTGCAGCTGAATGCAATATCCAGTTCACACAAAGGAATGTGCACACACAACTGTAGGTTTAACTTCAGGGTTAGGGTTGTTGGGATGATACTTTGAGCTACAGATGAATGGAAGACAATGTAGAGCAGCCTGTCCCCATGCTATACACATTTATTAATTGAACACTAACCAAGCAGCTAGCAAAGTGTTTACCAACGGGAAAAGTACCACTTTGCTGTCGCCTCTCTATCATCTGTGAATCAAATCACACTTCTGAACATTCAGGAAATTCTTTAAATGCATGTTTTCAACCAGATGATTATCTCAAGTGTGGGAATTGACTCTATGATGTGATGTGTGTGTGTTGCCTTCAGCCTCTGGTCTGAAGGCAACATGAGGTCACATTCCCCTGGTGGTGCAGGGAGGCACCCGGGCGTGGCTCGTGGCAGGAAGTGGAGGAGTCTAACTAGAGTTTTGTGTGTAAATTGTGTATACGCGTTTGGGTGTGCTAATGGCTGCTTTAAAGTGGATGTGTGTGGAGGGGAGTTTTATTCCAGAGCAGTGCTGTCAGTTGGAGAGTTAACAATGTCACATATGAATAAGCTTTACTGTCTAGGCCTGTATTCACTGCTCTTTATGCTTGGTGACTGCACACAGTTAAATGTATGTGGCTGCAGCTGCTCTCCCCCCTTTGTGTCCTCTCCAATAGCAACAGAGAGGCTCTATTTACCAGCCATTAAATCTGCAGCTACAGTTAAAAAACACAGAGACTTTCATTATTCAGTAAGCGCTCCAGGTTAATTTACTTTTGCCCAAACTAGCTAGCAGCAATGTTCTCCTTTACTGAGTCACGAATTTGTGGCATGGTGGACGGGGGCAGGACACAATATTACTTAAATGAACTTAAAGCCTTTTCAAAAGCTACAAAAGATGTGTTTGGATGTTTAATTTCTCCTGTAAGCACCAACCACAAGCAGGGTGCATCTACAGTCATGGGACTGAACTGCTCTCAGTCAAACAAAGGCAGTGATCTGCTTGCCTGCTTAAGCCAAACCAACACAAAAGGCTCCTTCTGCTGCCACTGCTATTGTTTCTGCCTCACACTGACTCTCTCTGGATGGTCCCAGACGCTCACCCTGGCAACTCTGGCATTTTTCTAGACACTTCACAAACATCAAGACAAGAGCTGGTGCTGGAGGGGCGGGCCTAAGAATGCTCGTATGGATTATATATGCACCATTAGCCCGAGCCAAGGTTACAGCTTGACTTGGCCAATCAGGACCACTGTCTTAGCCCTAAAGTGCACAAAAGGGAGGATGGCATTTCTGGTTAAAGCTTGCTAAAGTTGTGTCAACACACTCACCAACACAGGTGCAGGTGGGAAAATCGGACTGCGGATCCTTGGAAGGAGTGTCCAGCAAGTTCTTTGTGGGGGTGTCCAGGTAGCGCAGAGGTGAATCTAGGAAACCTCGAAGAGACGGAGAAGAGGGCAGCCCGTCCTTGGTGGGGGTGTCCTCCTCTGAATAGCACGTGGTCGACAGCACTGCTATGTCACCTGACGCTTCAAACTTCATTCGTTTTGGCAGCGGAGAGCTGAAGGCATCTTCCAACAGTCCGGGCGGCTGCTTGGCCAACAACGTCTCCTGGTTCAGCGAGTGATCGACAGGCCCCTCGCGCTGACCGTCTGGCGGGATCTCTGTGGAAGCCTGGCTCATGGTTGCTTCACTTTGGGTCCCTGTCACATGGTTGTTGACTTCCATCTCCTGGTCGTCTGAATGAGGTGTGGAGTTGGGCTGAGTGGTGGGAACTGACTGAGAGGTGTGTGATAATGTGGGACTGAGGTCCTGAGGGCTTGTTAGGGATTGATTCCCTGGCTTAGGGGCTGTAGCTGTCTCTTCTTCGGGCTGAGTGGCAGGGGCATCTGGAGGCGAGTCTCCAAATTCAGCCTCGAACTGGCGGATCAGATCTTCGTACTTGGGATCTATGTTTGTGAGTTTCTGGATTTGTGAGGTGCTGGATGGAGATGTGGAGGTAACAGGTGTGGCAGTGCTGGTGTTACTGGAAGCCAGATTGCTCGCTCCTTCTGAATTCAGGTGGGCTCCAGGAACCACAGGAGAAGGCAGAGGGCCCATATGAGCTGGAGGGTTTTCTGGTGAAACAGAAACGTTGGAAGAGGGAGTGGATGAGGTTTTGGAAATGGATACCTGAGACTGGGCCAGGGCAGAGAGGCCTGCAGCAGCAGCCTGTGTGGTGTTACTGAGAAGGGGATGAGAGGGCAGGGGGGACACCTGCAGGCTGGTCGGAGCAGGGGCTCTGTCCATCACATAGACAGGTGGTTTCTGTACGCTGATCTGACTTTGAGGCAGGAAGGTTGGCATGGAAGCTTTCTGCTTGGTCTTCTTGATGACTATCTGTTTGGGTTTAGGGAGGGGAGGGCCAATAAACATCCCACTCATTGCTCTCATCACTGGAGATCCTTGGTTGGTTTTTTTCTTCTTGGGTTCCTTGGGTTCCTGTTTGATCGGCAGATATGGCAAACTTGTTTCCATCTGCGGCCACCATTTTTTCAAGTTTTGACAAACCATAGCTGCACGCGGACCTGGAGCTCCAAAGCTGGATGGCTGGGTGGAGAAGAGGTTCCTTTTGTGGTGAAGGTGCTGTTGAAGAGCTGCCTGAGTGGAGTGGCTGATGGCTGCTTGACCAGGAGACATGGGAATACCGGGGAAGTGCTGACCCACTTGTTGTCCATTAGACAGTCCATAATGGCCGGGCGAGGTGGTCTGGTTGTAATTCTCGCCAGAGTCTGGCTCTTGCTTTATCCGTGCCACTGCCGGACTGCTTTGGCCCTGGAGACTCCCGTTCTGGTTCATGCCACGCTGCTGCACAACTGGAAGATTGAAAGGGCCGTTGTTGAACTTGCTACTGGTGTTACCAAGCAGTTGTTTAAGCTCTGACATCGGGTCTGAGCTTTTGTGAGGTGCAGTGGCAAAGGGAGACTGTGGCTCAGATTTTCTATATATCCACGGACCCTTCTGTTCAGAGGCCCTGTGCTGCTGCCACTGATGGGGAGTCGGACTGAAGCCTGGAGGTTTTCCCTGACCTGGGAAAGGAGAGGTAGCGGAAGGGAGAGGGGACGCATGGGGCGGCTGGCCCTGGGACTGGGGTCGGTGTTGGTCACATGACGCCGGAGCCTGCTGGCTGACTTGTAGTCCTGGAGGGACGGACTGAGAGCGTGATGACGGGTCGCTGCCTTGAGAGGATGTGATCACACCAGGTGTAATATTCATGACGTGTTTGTGACTATGGAGGTTATTTTTCAGTGGGGTGTGACTTGCAAATCTGGCAACATGAGGGCTGTTGCTGGATAACTGTGTCAGCGCTTCAATGGCAATGGCTGTTTGAAGACTGACGTTCTTTTCCTTGGCTATGGAGAGCACCTGGGGGGAGCAAGGAATAGGAGGTTTGGAGCAGGGCACTTGGTCTGGGCCATGGCCTTGAGTCACCTCATGCTGCTGTGAGCATGAAGTGGACATATGGTGGCCACCATTCACCTGTTGGTAGGCCTGAGGGTGCTGCTGCAGATGGGGTTGCTGCATGTGTGTGGCACCATCGGCCACTTCACGGGAGCCTTTCTTCTCTCTGGTTGCTAATTTAATCTTCTTCTCCAACCATTCAAGGTAGTCTGGACAGTCAGGTCCATCACAGTCGCAGTTAGGAGGTTTGCGACCATGTTTGGCTTGACTCAGTGCTTTCTGTAGGGTGTCGAGGTCCTGTAGAGGTTGACAGCTTCCTTCAGAAGAGCTAGCAGAAATTTTGGAATGGGCTCCTCCGGCACCTGTCTCCTGGGTGAACTTCTCATACAGCTTGGCTGTATCGGGCTGCACAGGGAGGCAAGATGGGGAAGAGGAAGGGGGCAAGGAGCCAGCAATAGCAGAAAAAGCCACCAGGTTGTGGGCGTCCTCCATGTCTGCATGGTGGATGGGTTCGGAGAGGGTGGTGCCTCCGTTGCTGCTCCAGCATGGCTGCTGTTGGGTGTCATTGACCTTCCCATGTCCTGGCACCCAGCGTTGCCTCGGAGGCACGCTTCCTGCCCTCTGTTGTTCTGCTTCCATTGATGCCTCATCATCTTTAGGATAGGGGTTCACCCCATTGGCCAATTCAAGGCTCAGCGCGCCTTCCTGGAGGCGGTCATGTGACCCAATTTCCATCTGGCCTCCACTTCTGGGGCCATCCACTGAAGTGACTTTGTGAACAGTCTGAAAGACAAACATGGAGCATGGTTAGAAACCTGTAAAGCACTCCAAATAATAGAAGACAGACAGAAATCTGCATCAAACACCAACACAACTCCCTGAATAACTTAGACACACAGATATAACATAGTCCAGCTGTGTTTTATTCTCTATTTTCAGTTTGTACTTGAATTGATGGGGTGAGAACAAAACAATTCAAAGCTCCATTCCCTCTCCTCTCCAGAGTTTCCGTCCCACCTCTAATACATACAAGCACTAGCACTGCTTGCTCCGGGGTCTGATCAATACAAACTCAATCATGTATTCCAGTATTCAGTAGAGAGATTTCACAACAGAGAGGTCACATGATTTATCACAAACTTTTGCTGTATGTCTTGCAAAAGGAAACTGTGCTGCAGCACAGTTAATCTATGCAAAGCAGGCACATCTTCCATAATGCCCCCCTTTCAATTCACATATCTGACAAATGTTTTAACTATCCATTAATTGTCTATACTTCTTATTTCTAATAGGGCCACATGGGGGCTGGAGCCTATCCCAACTGACATTGTGGGAGAGTTGGGTCACAACCTGGATAGGTCATCAGTCCAAGCAACCACACACTCACTCCTATGTATGCATGTTGTTGGACTGTTAGAGGAAGATGGAGAAAACCCACACATACATGCAAATGCCACACAAAATGCCCCCCAGATTAACATCAGGAACCCTCCTGCTGCTCACTACCATGCAGCCTAAATGCTTAAAACCAGGGAAACCTGAAAAACCTGACCGGGCAAAACCATTTCTTTGAGCATAATTTCAATCATTTGAAATAAAAACACCAAATTCTGACTTCTCCTGCACCTGTATTCCTTTCCTCCAATCACAGGCTGGCTTGAATGGCCTGCTATGGTCTTTATTTCACCAATGCAGCTGCTTAAAGAAAGCCTCATCATCATGGTCACGTGCATTTTCCCCAAACCAACAGCAGACAGCTGAAAAGATCTTTATTTCTGAAAGGCCACTTCTGATATTGGGACAGCAAGTCTCCTTATAAAGAACAGTCCCACTTCAGATACCAAACAGACAAAGAGCACAATAGAGTCAATCAGGACTCCAAAATATTAGGATACGTTGCTGGAAATTCTTGTTTGACCATAACTTGGGGCTCCCACTTCCCACTTATTAAGTAAATGGTAACGAGGGATGAATTTTAGAGACATGGTGTTGATCTGGGAATGACGAAGACGCAAATACTGACAGGAAAATGGATTATGCATGTTACAAAGGGCCAGTGTGACATTTAAGAAAAGCTAGTGGTGAACTGTCCCAAACAGACCCATAAAAAAGATCCCAATGTTCTGGTTTTTGTCACGTTCACGAGGGTTGAACTTGACCGAACTTGTTGATGGTTTAAGAAGGGGAAAAAGCATACCTTAACATCACATGTCAGCCACTGCGACGTTCAGGTTGTTTGAGGAAAGCTTATCGCGTTTATCTGCGTCTCAGGCAAAACTAGTAATCTTGAGAAATACTGTGTCCTCTTTGCTCTTTTTTTTTCCTGCTCTCGTGCACAACGTAGTGAAAACCTGTTCAGCTGGTTTGGACATATTTTTCAGAGGCGGTGATAATCGTGAGCTGATCAGCAAAGCCACTTATCTCACTTCCCCTCACAGTCAAAACTGGAGGACATACACAAAGTCACATGATCCCTTTCTGAAATGGCATTTTCAAAAGTGCTTGATGACATTGTAAGAAAGGTTTGCAGGGCCAGTGCCTGTTTAGCTGAATTAGCCTAATATGTGGTGGTCCAATCCACCTTTAATTTAAGATGTTTCTTACAGTGTTCGTCCCTGGTTTGCTCCTTGTAGATTATAATTACACAAGTCTAGAGGGAGAACAAACAGAGATAATCCAAGGGCAGCTTTGGAAATCATTGACAGAGTTCATGTTATGGTTAAACTGTGAATTTCAACATGCTCAATGGCCCTTGTGAAAGGAAAACAATGGAAGAGCCGCTATGAAAATGTATTTGTTGCTTGGGCCTCATAACGAGTGATGTATTAATGTAAATGTGTCTTGTGTCAACCACAAACAGTGAAATTACCCAAAGCAATGCACACATGAGGGTTTGACACAACACTAAAAGCTGTTGATGTTCCCCTCCAGAAGAGAGAACACAACCTGGGCTTTCTCATTCTGAATAACTGGTACAAATCCAGTTCCTGATGTAGAGAAGTGGTGGCCTCTGTGTGTGGACCTGAGTGCACGGCAGCAGAAGTGAGGCTGACATGCAGCTTCCCCATCATTTGAATATTATTGAAATCAGCCTTTGAAGTGGCTAATTACCAGACACGCAGCATGCTTGAGCCTTTTGAATCCACCTTCTGCACAGGGTGTCTGCTGGGGGTCCCGCGAGGTGGGGGGGTGTGGGGCTGATGCTATTGGTTGAAAAACACTGAAGGGCCAGGGGGTGCTGTGGAGGTGGGGAGGCAGCGAACAGCCGGCATGCAATACGTGAGAGGCCCCATGTCTGTACTATCAGTGGCATCAGATGGGAAAGAGGAAGGGGGGGGGGGGGGGGGGTTGAGCAGCAGTGTGCGGCAGTTATGAGAACTGCAGTGTGTTGAAACAGGGCAACTGCAACACTGCACAACCAAACATCCCACAACTGAGCCCTGTGACACCACCAGCACTCTCCTTTCCTCTTTTTCACACTCACGGTTGCGCAAACAAAACATTACCACAGAGAGGAGACACGTGGGTTCCAATTATCTCACACCGAACGCTCAGGAAACTGCACTTGACTCACCGCACACGCAACAACGGACCCACACACAAAAAAAATAAAATCTGCGCTCTGCTCAGAATTTGTTGGGGCTTTTCGGGGGAGTTTTTGCTCTGACTTTCTGCTCAAGCCGACCACGTGCTCTGACAAACATTCACACCAGGAAAGAGAAGACTATGTTGCTCCACTTTGACACGGCAAAACGCCGGCGCAGACCTGAGCCACAATCCAGCGCGCACGCGGTCGCACAAACACAGCCAACCGGAACAGATCCTGCCAAACCTGGTCGACCGGACAGGCTGGGAGCCCTTTAAACTAGTTGGTGCTTCCAGGTTTGGCTGAGAGGAAACACTGACACTGCACAAAAAATGTGGAGGGAGGGGACAAAGCCTTAAAGTGCAGTCGTGCTGGCGCTGAGGGGGTTAAGTTCAGCTTATGAGTAGACAGCTGAACCTAAATCCCACAAACACAACACCACCCCGTCCTCCCCCCCATTCCCCCACCCCTTCCTCAGCTTCCGTGACGAGCAGGAACGTGAAGCGGAGATCCTGACAATATTAAGCCGGCTGAGGAGCCTCGAGGACCGGCGCCGCAATACTTACGCCGTTCTGGACGTCCAGACAGAGCAGCCGGTCCGAAAGCAGCGAGCAGAAGAGGAGACGGAGAGGAGCATGAGCCTGTTTGCCGGCGCAGCGCTCCCCAGGCGGCACGGCGTCGCTGGATTGTATTCCTTCCTATTCCTTCCCGTCTGTGCAGCGCACAGACACAGCAAGCACCAAAACACACATGCACGCGCTCACTCATGCACACGCAGCCGGGCAAACACACACGGCACACCTCCCCCCAGTGCAGCACACACGTTTCTCATTCTCTTGCCTCTTCTTACGGCCAATGCTTTCTGTTCTCTCCTTTTTCCTTTCTCATTATCTGTCTGCTCCTCCCTTCCCTTTTTCAATATCCTCTTTCTTTCTCTTGACTACACATGCAGTCGGCTTCTCCTCGCAGCCCCCACCTTCCCCTCTCTATTCCTCCCTCCCTCTCGTGCCGCCTCCCCCTCCATCTCCTCTCCTCTCTCTCCTCAGTGTGTGCAGAGCGAGAGGCCATTATCTGAGCCACAGCGGGCACGTACGATGGAATGGAGGAGTGTGCAGTGAGCAGAAACACAGAGCAGTGGGGGATAGACGCTAGCTGCGGCAGCCTAGGAAACAGCTCAGTGCAGCAGAGCTCTTACCAATGAGACAACCTCTCTGCCGCTCTATCCACGCCCTGCCGCACCGTTTGCTCTGCTGCATTCGGTGACGTTACATAATCAGGCTACATGTATGTTTTTATTACGTAGAACTGTCCGACGACTGCTTATGTTTGGCAATGACCGCTATGCTTCTCTGCTCTCCACTGCAGGCACCAAACGGGCGCCGCCGAGCGGACGGCCAGCCTCGGCTCACGGTGGCGCCGCCAGGAGAGAGAAACAGGGACAAATAAAATGCAGCTTTCTTTTTCCCTTTCGGCTTATGCCCTCCACGGACGCCTGCGTCCCTTTGGTCCGTTTTCAGTCCCTGTTTACGCGGCGAGATTCCTCCCCGGCGCGGGCCGAAAGCGGACGCCAACGCGAAGGGGCTCCTCGGTCTAATTTTCCTCCTCATCCACGTGCACGAGGGGTCACTGCTTTTTGCCGAAATGAAGCACTTCAGGCTTACACCTGTGGCTGGCGGTGCGTCCAGTAGCGGGAAAACCTGCACGGGAGAGCTGGTTGATGCAGGAGCAGCCTGGTGGAGCTCCGACTGGCCGGCGCTCAAAGATCCAAAAGTATGCATGGGAGCTTTCAGCAAAACCCCCTCAGCCCACTCATCTATGCAGGATAAGACCAGTGTGTGCTACGATTATGTAAAGGAGCGTCCAAAGGACAGGGACCAGCGGACGGCCATCTGACAGCAGCGCGCGGCAGGATGAGGCTGATGGCGCGACAGCGGAGGAGAACCCTCTGTTGAGAAAAGTTGCCCGGTCGCTCTTTCGACTCAGACTCTGCGGCTGGGCAGAGGACTTTAACGGGAGGAACCGCACGCGGAAGAAAGGTGGACCGCTTGTTGCCGGGCGAAGGCAGCCGCATCCAGAAGCAACACATCAGAGTTGTTCTTCTCGTCCATCCGCCCCCCTACCGCGGCGTCCTCTCCATACCTTCCCCTCACCATTATCCCTCCTCGCCATAACTGCTATTATCTTTAGCAGCGGTGTCATCA